AGTCAAGGACTAAACATGGAAAAAATCAAAGTCATGTACCAAAAGTGTCAATGACATAATAGTTGGAGGACTAAAAGTCGAAAAAACTTCCCTCTATTTTTTCTCACCTCTATTATTGGAGGTTTGGAGCAATCATGGGCCTAAACTTGCAACCCGGGCGATTTCAATTAATTTATTGGTGGGTTAGGGTTGCTATTTCATACCCGACTAATTCATAAGTTTCTCAAGTCAACCCAAGCTGAGTGTAAGTTAAGTGAGTTGGCTCACATGAGTTGTGGTTTAGCACATGGGACAAAATACAAACGTATAGTTTTGCCATCCATCATCTTCAATGTTGTTTTCTTACTACCAAATTATTAAAATTCCTATTTACAATTATACACTTATCACTTTACAATCATTGCAAAATAATTAATATTCCTATAATATCTATTCAAATAAATTCGTCAAACATACGAAGTATATTTTATCTAAAGTTGAATACTACGTATGTATTTTGTGCAATTAGTAGTCATGATTTGGAGTGGACTCGTTCCCGATCTCTGAACCACTTGATTTTGAAATGGAATTGGGGCCGGAAAACAAGGTTCCTTCCGGGACCGAATGGTGCGAAAGAAGTCCCGGTCTCGAGCCTCCATTTTTTGAGACCTAACTAGTTCCACATAACTTTTTGTTTTTGTTTTTTGATTTGCTATTAAACTATTGCAAAATGTTTCATTAGGGCTGATGATCCATTTAGAAAGTTTAAATATGTGTAGATAGGGTGGAGATGACAATAGAAGGCTTAAAAGTATATAGTAAAAAAAGCCTGATGACGGACGAGAATCGTGACCGGACCAAAACTAGTCGAGAATCGGAAATAGAGGTCTCGGTCCCTAACCTCCGCATATTGATCTAGGATCGAGTCCATACCTAGTCACGATTTATATTATTTACTCAAAAAGTACGCAAATACAAATGTACAATCTCCGATTTTTGTGATCACTAGTATTTAATATTCTTTAATTAAATTTAACAAATATTGGATGATTGGTGTTTTGATTTATCATTTATCCTTTCTTAGTATTTAGTTATTTACCAATACAAATATATATTTCACGGTAATTATTTTTAAGAAAATTTGTCATGTACTACACACATACAGAGTATATTTTTTACATTGGCATACGGACCGTGTCGTTTAGCACATGGGTTAATTGTGGGCTAGCCCACTATTAAACAAATTCACTCAATTCAACCCGTGAACAGAATAACCTGCCACGAATCAGGTCGGGCCCGTTTAACAGCTCAATCTATTATCCTGGATACTCCCAAGTTGAAACCAAACACACCTGAAGTGTTAAACATTTTATCGAGAAAAAATAAGGAAAGTAACAATGGTCCTGTGTCCCTGAAGATTAGGAGTAGGCATGACGGTTTGGTTTAACAAACCGAACCGTACCAAACCGAATCAAAATCGAACTGTATGCAATTTGGTTTGAGTTTGGTACTATTTCTTCCAAACCGTATTAAACCGAACCAAACCGAAACCGGTAAAAACCGAACAAAACCGAACCGAACTAAAGAGATTAAAAAGACTTCATATATTGTTAAAAATTAACAAATCCAAACCGAACCGAACCAAAAAATAGTATAGTTTTTGTTTGGTAATAATTTTTCCAATCCTTTTCCAAAGGAACAAAACAAAGAACTATAAAAATCGAACCTAAAACCAATATGCCCCCACCCTACGAGTCCCTATATAGTACACCCGGGTGTACGTACATCCGGCCCACTTATTAAATTTGACTGGTGGGCTTACATCTTGTTCCAGAGAAAAAAATTAAAATTCCCAGCGGGATTCGATCCCCAGACCTGGGGTAGGATATGCGGCCTTCCAACCATCTCACTAACTTGTCTTGTTGAGATAATCCGTTCTTTTATCTTACTTATCCTATATAGTTTCATACTGCCTATTATTAATAGTAACTATAATATCAACTATTCTTTTGTTTTTGCTCATTATTACTACGGAGTATATTAAAAGACTAATTCATATTTTTGAAGTATTTATTTGATCTATGAATCATACTATTACTTTATATAAATATATTTATACTTTTTTTTATATAGTGTTAGGTTCCTAATAAGCCTGATGCTCATCAAAAGTGTTTTAATGCTCATAATAGGTCTGATGAACATTAAAAGTTCATTAATGCTCATTTAACAAAAACTGTGATTTTCATCTCAATAGAAACTGTGATTTTTTCATCTCATTGATATGAAATTGCAAAAATGAGCATAACATGAGTACCAAATGAACATACATAACTTACAAAGTGCACATTGATATGAAAATCGTAATGTTTGTTAGTTGAACATCATGACATTTTAATTGAGCATCCAACCTCCACTATTGAGATGAAAATCACGACTTCTGGAGAATGAGTAATAATGAAGTTTTAATGAGCACTAGACATATTCTGTTGAGCATACTGAATACACAAATTGATATTTAAGCATACTCGAGATTTTAAATGAGCTTTTAAAATTTTTCTATGCTCATTTCGTAAATTAGCTATGTTCATTTGATATTGGTGTAATGTTCATTTTAAAATGAGCACTACACGAGACAACTAAAATGTCATATCCATGCATATTGGCGCAATGCTCATTTTGAACTTTTTGATACTCATTTCACGCGTCATGTATTCACATTTAATATTTGAGCATCAAACATCCGCTATTGAGATGAAATTCACGGTTTCTAATGAATAAGCAATAATAAACATTTAATGAGCATCGTACCCCTTTTATTGAGTATTAGGAGTCTAATATTGAGAATCGTGATCTCCGCTTCATAACTTCTAATTCACTTTCTTTTTGTTATTTTTTCTTTTATAAAATCTTATTAAACTATATTTATAATCAACTCCTGTGAATTTCAATATGTGAATTAATGTAAAATAGTACTTTAAAAAATGCATCGATATGACATTTAGAAAATGAGCATAAGATCTCTACCAGATGAGCATACGTTACTTACAAAATGAGTATTAATGAATTTGTTAGCTGCTTTGTTATTTGAATATCACGACATTTTCATTGAGCATAAAACATCCTCTATTGAGATTGATGAAAATCACGATTTCTGTAAAATGAGCATTACTGAGGATTCGACCTATACAAATGAGCATATGTAACTTACAAGATGAGCATCGATATGAAAATTGTAAGTTTTGTTCGTTGAACATTTTACACACGCATTGATATGCCATTTTACATATGAGCATAAAATTAGTACCAAATGAGCATGTGTAGCTTACACAATGCGCATTGATTAAAAAAACGCGTTAATTGGACATCACGATATTTTCATTGAGCATCAAACCTCCTATATTGAGATGGAAATAATGTTTTGTATTAAATGAGCATTAATGAATTTTTAATGAGCATCATACCTATACAAATGAGCATATGTAACTTAAAAGATGAGCATTGATATGGAAAGTGTAAGTTTTATTCGTTGAGCATCAAGACATTTTCAATGAGCACCAAACCTCCGTTATTGAGTATTAGAATCTGCGATTGAGTATCATGAATTGTGGTCTCATGTCTATAATCAACTCTTATACAAATCTAATAATGTAATATGAGACTTTTGAAATGTGCACTGTTAAAACATTTTAAAAATGAGAATAATTCCTGTGAATTTCAATATGTGAATTAATGTAAAATAGTACTTTAAAAAATGCATCGATATGACATTTAGAAAATGAGCATAAGATCTCTACCAGATGAGCATACGTTACTTACAAAATGAGTATTAATGAATTTGTTAGCTGCTTTGTTATTTGAACATCACGACATTTTCATTGAGCATCAAACATCCTCTATTGAGATTGATGAAAATCACGATTTCTGTAAAATGAGCATTACTGAGGATTCGACCTATACAAATGAGCATATGTAACTTACAAGATGAGCATCGATATGAAAATTGTAAGTTTTGTTCGTTGAACATTTTACACACGCATTGATATGCCATTTTACATATGAGCATAAAATTAGTACCAAATGAGCATGTGTAGCTTACACAATGCGCATTGATTAAAAAAACGCGTTAATTGGACATCACGATATTTTCATTGAGCATCAAACCTCCTATATTGAGATGGAAATAATGTTTTGTATTAAATGAGCATTAATGAATTTTTAATGAGCATCATACCTATACAAATGAGCATATGTAACTTACAAGATGAGCATTGATATGGAAAGTGTAAGTTTTATTCGTTGAGCATCAAGACATTTTCAATGAGCATCAAACCTCCGTTATTGAGTATTAGAATCTGCGATTGAGTATCATGAATTGTGGTCTCATGTCTATAATCAACTCTTATATAAATCTAATAATGTAATATGAGACTTTTGAAATATGCATTGTTAAAACATTTTAAAAATGAGCGCAACAGAGATACTAAATGAATATACATAATTTACAAAAATGAGTATTCGAAAATTCAAAAGCTCATTCACGTATGTTCATTTTTTAGGCGTTTTACTCATTTGAGTTAAAGGTAAAACTCATTTCTAATGTGCTCGGTATAATATACTACCTCCGTTCTTTTTTATTAGACCTTCTTTCCTTTTTGGGACGCTTTTTTTATCTGTCCTCCTTTCCATTAAAGGAAAGTTTTTACTCTAAATATACCTTTATACCCCAACTTTTATTACCATTACCCCTTTCTCTTTCCTACTTTTTCATTTACCCACTACTCATTACACCTTTTACACTACCCTTACTACTTTCTTCTTAAATCCCGTGCCAAAGCCTAAGAGGACTAATATTAAAGAACGGTGGGAGTATATAAAAAGAAAACAAGTAAACAACAAATAAAGAAAGTAAAAGAAGTAAAAAAAAGAGAAAGTAAAATCAACCAGCAAAAGTAAAGAAAATAAAAAACAAAAAGACAAAGTAAAACATAAAAGAAATGAAGCAGTTCAACAAAAAAACGAAGCAGCGAATGAATACAAAAAAAAAGAGTAAGCAGCGGATAACACATGGATGAGCCGCTGAAAAAAAGGTGAATTAAAAAAAAGGCAGGGACCAATGATGAGCGTGAGTGGAGCACGGAAGGATGAAGCTCAATCTACAAAAAAAACCGGGTGTATATACACCGGATGTACCAATTTGCGCCACCCTACGGAAGATCATGAACAACTGGGTCCAGTTACTCCAGTAATCTAACAATAGCTTAAGCGAATGTAATCGAGGAACGACTTCTTTTTCTATCTTCCTCTCTAATCTTTCAGTCTTCCGTGACTTCTCTTGAATTTCTTTTGAACAGCAGAGCGTACCAGCGAACGATCAAGCGGCGGGAGTGAGGCAGGTGACTAACGGCAGTTCCGTTTTTCCCGGCGGCGGCCACCAGGCGCTTCGTCCATAGTATCTTGAAGCAGTACAGGTTTAACTCAAAGCTGAACTGAAATTATTGTTTGCTATGAACTCATCGGGTGTTTTCTATTAAAACGAAAATAGATGTTAATTAGAAATTAATAAGCCTTATCTTGAATTGATTTAACGAACAATTCATATCTACCGAAAAAACTAAGCTTTAAAAGCTACCTACTCAGTAATTCGGCTGAGAAATGTATTTTAAGGGACCTGGAGCTTGCACAAATTATATTGGGGCCAAAGCTCGACATTTTAAGATTTTTTCTAGATACAAAGTATGTGTGCATATATTTAAACATTTTTTCCATGGGGGCAAGGCTCCTTCTCCCCCCCCCCCCCCCCGTCTCCCCCACGGCCAGTAATTTTCAGAATAAAAAGTTTATAGTTCAAAAGAGATATTTGTGAATTAATAGTATGCTTGCTAATATCTTTACTTTGTGAGTTTCTATTTATGAAGTTGAGTTTGTGAATATTAATTCGTTCCTAAGTGAATCATATTTGGATAAGATTTCCTTAATTTTTTCTACTATTTTCATTATTTTATTGATACGAATTTATATCTTTTCTTGTTACTCACAAAAAATCACTATTCATATAATCATATAAAGAAAATGTATGCTTGAAACTTGAAAGTTCGTCTAATCAAAGTTTTCCTCAAGGTTTCAACATGCATCCTCATGCTGAAATTAATTTAAAAAATCTCGAAGTTGATCCAGGTAATAGAAAAAGTAGCAAGAGAAAATGTTTTCTGTATACCGAATAAGGCTATCTTACAACGGTTTCAATATATGAAAGTGCTTAGTGCTACTTTTTCCCAAGTTGCCTTAGATATTTTATTTTGATTTTGATGTTCTTATATTCAATTTGGTGAGGTATTGACCTGCTGTCACATGCTTATCAAATTAATGGAATTGCTTTTGTTTTGATCAATAATTTTTCCCATGCTTTTGTCACGGCTACCCCTGAACCTGGAAATACTGTACCAATTCCAAATAATTTTCCTTTTATCTTACCCCAGGTGAAGTTAGCTTCCTCAATGGGATATTGTGTGAACCATTTCGTGTCACTGAGTATTATAGCTGCAGCTCCTTTGCAACCTAGAAACACGTGTGCCTTTTTTTTTACCAAACCATCTGGCAGAAAAACTTGCAGCAGTAATGTTACCCGTAAAATGAGGCAACCATCAATGGCTGAAGGAATCTCTGCTTCTACTTACAAAAGATTTGCTCGCTTTGCTTTGGAAGAAACCAGGAAACAAACCCAATTGAGCCCTTCTCTGTTACAGGTACTAGCTCTGACCTTATTATCTCAGCAGTTATAATCCATAAATGTTGCTTTCTATGGAAGTTTACTGATTCCGAGTAGGTAAGACATGTAATGACGAGAATGAGCTCTTTCTTGTTTAGCCTTTTTAGGCTCTGTTTGCAATCTCTGTTGATAAGTGCTTTTGGCTTTTTTTTTAAAGAAAAAAGCACTTATTTTACCAAACACTACCAACTTTTACTATCTCGGTTTTCGTGTAGAATCTACTTTTTACTTTTTCTATTACACAAAAAGCACTTATTTTACCAAACACTACCAACTTTTACTACTAATCACTTTTTCCCAAAAAGTGCTTTTATTTAAGCACAAGTGGTTGCAAACAAAGCCTTAAAATATTAGGGCTTTCAAAAATCAAAATATCTTACTTTACACTGAATATGTGACTTAAAAGAATGATATAGGTAAGTTGTTGAAAACAAACCAAGAATCATTCATATTGAAGAAAGTAAGAAACTCTCTTGGTCTTTCATGGTGCAATTATTTTGGCAAATGCCTTTTTCATTTCTATAAATGGAAGCAGTTGTGTTGAGTCCTAGCTCCCAAAAATTAGGCAAAATATTTTTGAAAGAAAAATTTGAGAGAGCTGACTTTCTTTCCCTATTTGTTCTTAAGGTTTGGGTTTGGAGTAAAGTTCCATCCCTTGAAACACTTGGTCTGTTTTTTTGTTAAATTGAGAGGAATTTCTTTTATTTGTGTTATTATACACAAATTATACGGAGTGATTCATCACTCTATTGATAGTGGATAATCTGGAGATTGTTGACTGTCTTGTGGAGGTAAACCTTAGTGTTCTTTTTTCTTTTTTTGTACTTTTTTGTTCAATTTCATTTTTCAGGTGATTTTTTCTTTGGTCTAATGGTCCGAGGTAGTTGGGTTTTAAATGAAATCTTTTGTGTCTCATCCAACCGCATAAGGATTTTTTTTTTCAATTATAGACTTTTTCCAAAAATGCTTGTATATTTGTTGTAATCACATACTCAAATGTGTGTGAAATTGAGTATGCTCATATTGAAACACATGTCAATATGTACTAAATTTTATGCAGGATACATTTGGTTGCTCGGTTGCTTATCTGCCATTGAGTCACCTTAGATTAGACTGCTCCAGTATTTATCCATTGAGGGGAGTGATGGAGTGCAGGTTTGTTTATAATAACTCTCCTAAGCAGTGGCACATCTAGAATTTTTTCTGGGGAGGGGGGGGGGGATTTACTCTACAGTCTATAAACTTAGTTTAAGTTAGGGAAAGTTCTCGAAATAGGACTAAAACAATTTGAAAATTCTAAAATAGGACTGACATGTTTTTTATTCCCAAAATAGGAGTTATTACTGCCAAGTTTGGGAAATACTGCCACGTTTGAAGTTTGGTACTGCCAAAACATGACAATAATTAGTCCTATTTTGGGAATAAAAACGGGACAATCCTATTTTGGAATTTTCAAACCTTTTTAGTCCTATTTTGGGTAATATTCTCTTTAAGCTATAAATGTACAAGTATGTATAAAAAGAAGATCAATTTATATTTTGTGTGTACAAAGATGCAATTGTAGATAAATTTTTTAAAAATTCCCTAAATAGAAGTTAAACATAGCAAATTTTCTCAAATAGGAGTATCGATCATTGTTTTCTATACAAAATAGGGTTCATGCACTCCTATTTACGTAATTTTATCCTTTTATTCTTTTAGTAGGATTACATAATCCTATATTTTTTGAAGAAAACACACTTATCGTATTTTAGAATTTCCCTATGTTCTACTCATATTTTGAGCAACTTTTTATTAAATTATACTACATAGGTTATAGATATAGGGATTGGGTTGGGATTGAGGGGGGAAGCTGCCCCCACTCCCCCCCACCCTAGATACGCCCCTGCTCCCTAGTACTTTAATAATGTTAGTACCAGGAGGAGATGAAGATGACTAACAACTGCAAATGTTGAAATATTTGGAAGCTAGCCTCTTCATCTTTGGTAGACTTATATATAATTCCATCCAGAAAAGTTTTAGAAATTTTCTCACATTTATTTACTCGATATTATTGTTTTGGTTGAGTTTTTTTTACCTTACCGGATTATCCGTATTTCAAAACAAATACGATATATTATCATTGTTGATATGTTTCATAATGAATTAACTCTTCTTTATCAATTTTACTATCTCACTGTATTAAGAGAGGTGCTAAAGAGTCCTTTTCCCCCCGCCCACCCCCCAAAATGTTTACTCTACATTCCTTATCCATTTTTGGATTTTGCACTTTCCCTGAGCTGAGTTTGAAAAGAAAATATCGTTTTTTGTGAACTAAAATGAATGTATAAAGTGCTTTCGTTATATATAATATAGTATATATTTTCTATTGTTTATCCTATCTTTTCAAAATTTTAGTGACGATAATTTTTGTTGACATAATTTTGTTTTGCCCATTTTTGCTTGTTGATTAGGGTTGTCTACAAAAACAACAAGAAAGCAGTATCTTTAACCTTTTCATCACCATCTTCGTTTTACCAATATTCTTCAGAACGCCCTGTAATTTTCACTAAATTCTCACCAAGTCCTGGGACTTCAACTTCCTTACTGAGGAAACCACTGTCATGTTCCAAATCTTCTTCTGAAGAAGCAGAGATCTCTGGAAAGGAAGAAGGGTGGCTGCAGAGGCTGCCAGAGAAGCAGAAGGCTCTCTATGCTCACAGCTTGCCCTGCATAGAGGCCTGGCTTGGGAGTTTAGGGTTTTACCAGAGCAAAGAAGACAGAGCTGTTTGGTTTGTGGAAAATCCTGATTGGCACGCTCAGTTATCTCTTGATATTACGGACCTATACATAAGGTTAGTCTATTGTAATATACTGCTACCGATTGGGTTTTGTATAAAGTACCATTGGTTGGAGTCACACGGGGGGAGACAAAAACACTAGCTTTTATTTGGTTGAAGGGAGAAAGTGAGTGAGATGAGATTAGAAGGAAATGGAGTTACGGAACCACTATTTTCATCTCTCCAAACAAAGATCTTTCGTTCCCCTCCTGTATCTTTCCCTTATTTCTCTCATATTTCCCCTTTACCAAGCAAAGACTACATGAGTAAAAGGTGATCAAAGCTGAAAATTCTTTGACCTTTACCATGGTTTTACTAAGAATCTCATACTTTTAGTTCCTTTATGAAAGGTACCTTAAGAGTGGACCGGGAGGGCTAGAGAAAGATGTGGAGAGAAGATTCAGCTATGCACTCAGTAGGGAAGACATTGAGAATGCCATCCTTGGTGGCCCATAAGGAACACCTGTCTAGGCTTAATACAAAAGGAAGAGAAAAGCAACAGTACCTCTCTAGGCACATATATTGCAACAGAGATGTTTACCTCCAACATGTAGTGAAAATTTTTTCTTACTGCCTGCCATGCATGCCCTGATAAATCAATGGTGGGTAGTACCAACCTACCAAAAGTACTTAGGGGGCCGTAAACGGATGGTGGACTACTCGTGTTTGGACTCGTTTAGCGTTTGTATGTGACTTGTTTTAGAGCTTGATTGTTAAGTGAACAAGGGTTGGACAATGAGAAGCTCATTTGATTTAGGCTCATGAACAACTCGATCAAAGTGTGGTCATGAACACATTCTGTTGTAGTTCATATAAGGGTGTAGTGGTGTACACGAAAAGTTCTGATAAGTGATCATAGTTTTGTATCTTTCTTTATAAACTGTGAGTCATGGTTTACTTGTTTTAACGATGTGAAAATAAAGTTAAACGGACTCGTTTTCGAATGATGAACCTATAGACATGAGCACATACGTAATATAAGTTTAAAGTTGACTTGGCTAGGTTCGATTGTTTGAACTTTGAAGTGAATTTCAAACAACAACTCTATCTTTAACAACAACTCTATATTTACAGCAAACTCTATATTTACAGCACATACGTAATATTCGATTTTTTATTTTTATTTTTCATTTTTTAGATTTAATAGTATTGTTATTTTTATGTCAGTTATGTATATGGTGTTTTATAATGATATCACTGCTATGTGTTACTGCAATAATGGTTATAATCACTGCACAACAAATTTCTCAATGCATTAATTTACTGTCATGTATAAAATGTCTATTATCTTATCTATTTACTGCCCATACACAAGACTTATTGAAATGTTCATTGCCGATGTTCAATGTCCATATTTAATGTCGACAAATCATAATCCATACCTAAAATCCCTAATTTCACAAATACAAAAAAGAAGTTAAAAGTTCAAAAAAAGTTGCAACCGCAGATGAACAAAACCATGTCATGTCATGGTCCACTAAAGAAAATCCTCAGCCACATAAAAAAATCTTGGGCATTCGATCCAAATTAAATTGAGAGGACAGATACATTAATGTCCACATGAATAGGACTCCTTACGTCTCTACGAGCCTTCCTCTTCGATCGGTAGAGTCCTTGATGGTACAACACGGAAGGCGGCGGCAAGCATGACTCGGAACGGCGGCGGCAAGAATATCTATGGACCGCGATTGGGCGGTGGTGTCGATCTAGGCAGTAGCTGTGGCGAGCAAGTCTGGTGCTGGGGGTGGTCGGGCAAGCAAGCGCCTTGATGCACCAGTGTCGGCGATTGTGATTCTGGATGGCAGCAAACCGTGGAGCGGTGGCGGAAGGGGGCTGGTGGCTGGTGGCTGCGGGGGGTGTGCGGCGGGCGCAGGAGGGGTGTATCTGTGGAGGCGGAAGACTGAAATGCTAGGGTTGGAATAATGAGTAGGAGTTTAGGGTCTTATAGATATAATCTAAAGGGTATATTTGTCTACCAAAATTATTTATTTATTTAATTATTCCGAATTTTAATTAAATATAATTAATTTTAATATTATTTTGGTAAAAAAATTAGTTAGGTCTTAGATTGAGAAAGTGAAGAAATTTTAATCATACTTAGGATAATTATTATTATCTCTTAATAATACGTAGAACATAACTTGGTTTGTAATCCTTCATTTATAGCCTGTTCGGTAACATGTATTTTTAACTTATCAACCTTTTCAGTAATTTTTTATTTTATTTTATGTGCTGAATTGTGTAATAATCAGAATAAGTAAATTGTAGTTACTTTTCTAACTGAATTAACTGAAATTACTAATGAGAATTATTTAAGTTATTTTTTCATATAACTTTTCTTTAATGTTATAAATAAAATATATTTTAAATATAATTTTTCATAATTTAGCAGACAAACTCAATCAATTCAATTAGAATTTTATCAATTTCAACAATTCAACTGTTCAGTCATTAGTCTTACCAAACGGGGGTTTAAACACTTATGTTTTGTAGTTAGCAACAACATATTATATGTGAGTTACAGACTTGCAGTGGTTTGAAAAGAAATTAAACTGTTCAATTTGGTCATTTGACAAAACAAAAGAAGGAAACTGTTTTTGGTAACTTTACATTTTCATTTAGTAGATGAAAAAGATTTGTTATCCACAAAGTATAGGCAAAATATATTGTTAATATATTATTGGCCCAAATAGCCTTTGTATATTAATAATAGTTGACAACCTATTCAGCAACCCACTACTTTTACTCCAGTTGCCAGACTTGGGTTATTTCTCCTAATTTGAATCTGTCCAGATTCATTATTTGAGCAAATAATGTGATGTGTGTGATTGAGTGTCCCTGCATATCTGCCAACCCATATCAACCCATACTCCTAGCTAATAAGCCAAACTCCTCTGCTCGATGTTGACTTCCTAGCATGTGCAATTGTTTTGAGAGGCATCCCCTTCTTCCCTTTCCTCTATCGGTGTGCTGTATATATCTATCTATCTTTAGACCTTTGAGAAGTGTGGTGAGAAAATGAGAAACCAGCTCTCTGTGAAGCTGAGTAAGAGTAGTGTTGGAAGGTAGAATAGGTTGTTGCTCCCTTAGCCTTAGTGTGCACAAAGAGACCGCCGGAAACCGACCTCCGGCATACCTGAGCCGAATCCGGCAAGACAGAAACGGATCCACAACAGTGGTATCAGAGCGGGTCGTGCTTATATTGTCGCGTGAAATGGTGGGGTCCTCGTGAGGGATGAGGACTATGCGAGCATGGTGGCTCTAGGGCCGGTACGTGCTGATGACGGCTCCACTCCTGATGGTCCGCAGGGGCGGATGGGTTCCTGAGGGAATGGGAACTCGGGTGGCCACCAGCTCGGCCGGGCTGCTTGAGAGAGAGGCGGCCTGGTGATGAGGCGCGTTGACAATATTAAGCATGGCGATTCTTGGGCAGAGTCGTCTCCCCTAGCACGAGGACGTGCTAGATTTTGGGTGGGGGAGAATGTCACGGACCGTTGGTCGTGACCGTGTTAGGCTCAATGAATGGCATGGACCGACTGGCTAGCTGTACGGGTGAGGCATGTGGGAGGCAATAGCGTCAAGGGGAGTTCTGCCTTAGACGCTAAGGTCTGGCCGAGTTGGGCAAGGAGTGACTATGAAGGAGACGAACGCGTGTCTGAAGGCACAACTGGTCGGGAGCTATTGTCGTTCCCCTGATGAGCCCAAGGCAGGGCGAAACCAGTTCGGTTCGTATGAGAGCGAGGCTGGTCTTCGGGGATGAGAGGGACCCCGGGACGCCGCACGGGCGCTGTGGGCTGCGCCAGACTCTATGCCCGTGACAAGTGGTATCAGAGCCAAGGGCTGTCTCCGCCGTCGATTTCACTGAATTCCGCCGTCCACCGCCGTTGACCGCCGTCCGCCGCCGGTTGAAGCTTCTGGAAGATCTGCCAGATCTGAGTCGTGGTTCTTTGGTGCTGCTAGAACCTTACCGCCCCAATCCCGTCCGTCGTTAGTCGATTCCGGAGCTCGAGGGTGGAGGTCACCGCTGGAGCTGCCGACTACCTGGGAATCAACGCCGCAGGTGCTGAAGCTGGACGAGGACTTCACGCTGGAGATCTCGCTGGACGCTGAGGCAGAGCTCGTTCGTGGACTTCCAGGCACGGCTCGGTTATTGGTTCGCGATCTGGAGCCGCCACCTGAGAGCTGTCCTCTCCGTTCTCTGCTCGTCGTTGGTCCATAGGAGCTGCCGCCTGGGAGCTAGTTTGTGGAACGCAGGTCTGCAATTCTGGAGGTGTTGGGCTGGAGCGTGTTGTTGACGCTAGAATACTTGAAGCAGGAGAAGAAGAAAAAATAGGACGCAGGGGATTGTTTTTTGGGCTGGAAGTGTTTTTGTTTGGGGCTGGTCAAAGCTGGCCGTGTGGGGTTGCTGGACTAACTGCTGGCCGAAGGCTGGACTGCTGGAGCTGGCACAAAAGGAGAGGAGTTCAAGCATGAGCTTTCTGGCTGGACTTGGTCAAAAAATCAGTCAACTTCCAAAATCCCTTTTGTGGGTGGGTAAGGTCCAAACACTCTCCTAGTGTTTGGCTACTGTAAGTTTTCTTTAAATGAATTTTAATTAATGTTTTTCATTTAATTTAAACTATTAAAATTTATTGTTTATTTAATACTTGCTAGAATTATATTTATTTGTGCTACTGTTTAGCCCTTTAAATATTAAACTGTTTTTCTAGCTAGAGTTGCATTTTTTTTATTTTCTGTGTTAATTTTCTGTGTGAAAATGTCTTCATTTAATCAGTACGGAATGGCTCCATTTAATGGAAAAACTGATTTTAGCATATGGAAACAGAAAATAAAATGCATATTAATTCAACAAAAATCATATAGGGCAATTAGTCAAACCTATTTGACTTCCGATACGGAAGAGAAAAAGGCAGAAATGAATGAAAGTGCGTGTTCTATAATTTACTTGAACTTATCTGATTGTGTGCTCAGAAAAGTAGGAATTTTAGAATCTGCCAAATCTTTGTGGGATAAACTTGAAGAGCTTTATACTGAAACCTCTCTACCGAGTAGAATGTTCTTACTTGAAAAATTTTTCAAATTTAGACTTGACATGTCTAAAGATATTGAAGAAAATCTTGATGTTTTCACAAAACTTATTTCCGATATTAAGTTGTCCGGTGACAAACACATAGATGATTATACTCCCATTGCTTTATTGAATGCCATACCTGATTCTTATAGTGATGTTAAATCTGCCATTAAATATGGTAGAGATATTATAACGCTAGATATTGTTGTTAATGGTCTCAAAAGCAAAGAGTTAGATTTAAAGCAATCTAGGGGAAGTAAGAATTCGGGTGAGGTGATGCATGTTAGGGGTAGACCTCAGAATAGGTCTCATAACCAAAAATATGCTAGTAATGGAGAATCAAGTTTTAGGAAGAATTCTGCGAATAGGAAGGGTAGATCTAAGTCTAGATCTAAGGCCAGAAAATGCTATAATTGCCATGAATTTGGTCACTTCATTAAGGACTGTCCTAAGCCTAAGAAAAATCAGCATAATGAACATGCTAATGTGGCTTTTGGTGAAGAAAAATTGGGTGATATTTTTATGGTTAATAATCTTTGTGATCATGCATGTGTTAATTCTGTGCTTTCTAATTCCCTATGTGAATCTGATTGGTTAGTTGATTCCGGTTGTACTTTTCATATGACTCCCTTTGAAAATCTTTTTTCAAATTATAAGAAAATTGAAAATGGCTATGTGTCTATGGCTAATGAAAAGAAATGCAACGTGTTAGGAACTGGTGATGTATGCCTTAGATTTTCTTCTGGCTCTATGTTCACTTTGAAAGATGTTAGGCATGTTCCTGATTTACGTTATAATTTGCTTTCATGTGCATCCCTTGAAAATGAAGGTTTTGAGGGAAAATGGGGGAAAGGGGTTATGAAAATCATGAAAGGATCTCTTGTTATTTTTACTGCTGAAAAGAAAAATAACTTGTATGTGTGTCAAGCT